CACTCCCCTCCTCAACTTCCTCTCAACCTCCCAGTATATCCCTAAATCCGAGCCCGACCCACTGGTTCTTCCACTGATTTGATACGATCCACCCCTTTTTTCTTGGCCAGCAACCTGATTCCCATGGCAGCACCGTTTTTCCCCCTTGCCAAGAAAATAAAAAACCACCAAATCTACGGGAAAATGAATTCCTCATTTCTGTGGAAAAAGGTGTCACGTGAGGATTAAAGGGAAAAACAATTGCCTGGAAAATTTGGCCTGTCAAACAGCCCAAAAGTTGGAAAATGGTGTGATATTTTCCATTTTCCATGGAAAATTCGGTAAATCAAACAGGGCCTAAGTGTTTATCCCAAATTCAATGTATGCATAATACATTCCTCAATCAAACATATATTCATACTAGTGCTCATGGTTTCTAGAATTTCATAACAGAATTTACATCTTTCAGTCTCTCATCAGTATGGCTCAAATGAGCACACAGGTGGGCAAAGAACATTTAATTCCTGCTTTATACTGAAAGCCTAATATCATTCCTTTATGTTCATTAATTTAAAAAGTAACAGAAAGAAAAGAAAATGCCGGCGATGAGAAAATGGGTACCTGGAGTAGGTTTTGGGAGAAAAGAGAATAATGTGGTCCTCTCACTTCGGTGACACCATACCTTCTCGGCTTCTCTGGCCGATCCTCGTCTTCGAAGAAGCTCTTCCATTTGTAGGCTGCCATCCCTCTTTTATGTTATTCTAAGAATTGAAAGTACAAAGTTTACAGAGGAATCGGAAGAAAAGGAACGGTTCTCGATTTTAAAGCAGTGACGCAGTAAGGTGAGAACAGAGAGAAGGATCAAGAAGCAGGAAGAAGTCTTCAGCGGTTTCCAGAAATTTTTTTCCTTTTCAAAGATGGGGCCCGTTTTCAGCTCCTGACGTGTCAACTTTGCTTGAATTTTTTAATAGAGTGTATTTGGAACACATTCTTTTGAAAGAAAGTATTATTGAATAGTAAATTGATGAAAAATGTGTGATTAAAAATGAAGAAAAAGTTATTGATATGATGGAAAATATTATTTTATTGAAAAATGTATGGTTGAAAATGAGTAGAAGACTGAGAATGAAAAAAATAATGTGTACCAAACAGAATCTAAAATTCATGTTTTTACCCTAGTAGAAATTTTATTTTGGTTCAATGAGTAACATTATTTTTCCTTATCAAAGATGGGGCCCTTATGTTTTTAATTATGTTTATAGAGTAATCTCAAATTTTAAAAATAAAAATTATAAAAGTATTAAATAAAGGGTAATTGGCGCAAAACGTTCCTACCCATGACATGCTTTGTGGAAAACGTCCTTACGTTTGATTTTTTTGGTGCAGAACGTCATTTTCCCCATTTTTTAACATAAAATGTCCATTATGCCGTCCTATATAAATAAAAGAGAAAAGAAAAGAAAAGAAAAATAAATAATAAATTGTAATCTTACTCCTAAACCTTTTAAAAAATACATATGAGTCCAAAATTTATAAAAATATTAAAAATAACAAAAATAACACTCTCTTGTCCTCCGCCTCCCTCGCCTCCTCCACCGCCGTCAATTGAACCTCCGGACATTGGTACCAATATTTCCATTTTCAGTCTAATTTTATTGTCTCTGAGCTTTGTTCTTCAACTATATTTTATTATCATGAATTTCAAGAACTCTGAAAC